CGAATGGACATTACGGTCACAAAGGCAACTTGGCAGGAAATTTTAGTAACTGTCCTAAAGTTTCTAAGATCACTTTTTACCGAGGCAACGTTAAAAGGGTCATCGAGGGACTTGTGGTCTTTCAAACTAGAGGACAGCCACTAAAACTTTTCACGTTTCGAGAATTGTGACCGTTTTCTGAAGGCAACTGAAGTGGGATACCCTAGAGGTGCGCATGTGCAATTGTGTTTAGTTCAAATATTTATCTTGCGCATTTAGTTTTGTTAACGTTTTTTGTTTTCAGCTTTGCCATGCAATCCTAGTTACTAGCAGTTATATTGTACAGAAAAATGTAATGTGCGAAGATAAAAACCCTATGCTATTACATGGCTTCAGGGAGGGGGTTTAAAATGTACAAAAATTGGGGGAAGAAAAATAAATAAAGAAAGCGGTAAAAATTCTAATTAGTTTATTACATCCAGTATACAGGTACAATAATGAATAGAAATTTCAAAAATAAATAATGCGCGCGGAAGTTGAAAATACGTCTAACAACCTAGTAAGAAAATCTTTTTGCTTATTTTTTGATTTAAGAAAGTAAATAACCTAAAAATCTATTTAGAAAATAAAATTAATCAAGAAAAATAGTCTAAATTCTTTTTTAGTTTTTTTTATTATTTAAAGAAAATAATTAAACATAAATTAAGTCCTAAGTTCTAATTTATTTTTAATTAAAGAAAAATAATTAAAATAGTTATTAATTAATTCACAAAATTAATTTAATTAAAAAACTAAAACTATATTTTTTGTGATTTTATTATTACATTATATTAATTAAATAAATGAAGAAAACAAATTTATATATATATATATATATATATATATATATATATATATATATATATATATATATATATATATATATATATATATATATATATATATATATATATATATATATATATATATATATATATATATATATATATATATATATATATATATATATATATAAAGCAAAGTGAGAAAAACAATGCGAAATGGGTCAGGATAATTAGAAATTGAGTGGTGCTGAAATTGAATTTTGCTAGACCCAAGTGAATGTTAAGGCCAAACCACGCTGGATCAGGTGAGATAAGGCCTTGAGGGTGCATGGTGGATCTCAAATTGAAGCCTTTAGATCTAGACCCCTTATGATTTGAAGGCTAGATCTGATGGTGTTTGGTACACTTCTGGCCATGTAATGCATCGAATCTGCATGAAAAAATAAGTTAGAAAATATAAAAATGGAGCTTACTGAGGTATTTTGTGATGTTTCAGGGCTTGGTAATGATTGCAAAAGCTTCAGGGAGCCTCCAGGAATGTATTTAGATCTTTTGTTTGGACTGAGGAAGGCTGGAACCTAAAATGCGAATTTTGCAACTTTGATAATTTTTGCAAAATTTGTAGAGCTTTTCCAGGCTGTATATCACGTGTCTTGAAGCTTTCTAATGTGTCCTTTATATAGAGAGGAGGGAGGAGACAAGAGAACAAAGGTAATAACAACCATAAACATGTGTTTTTAAAGCCATGAATGATATTTTGTAACTTTGTCAAAGACATGGAATTTTATCCTTTTTAAATTTGAATGAATGTGGACTTTACTTGCACAAAATTTTATGGGCCTAGGATGTCGAAAACATTAACCCAAAGCTCAAAGCCCATTTCCAATTATTTTATACATTTTATTTTATATTTATTTGAAATAAATTAAAATAAATATGAATAAAATAGTTAGCAAATTCAAGGCAAGGCAAGAATAATTTTAGAGGTCCTCTATAGTCTTAGTAAGATGTTTGAAGTCCAAGAAATTAAGTCATTGACCTAAAACTTCAAGTTTGCTCAATGCATAATTCTTGAAAATTCCCAAATTTTCCCAACTTGGGAAAGACATAACTTACTCAATTATTTTCTCATGATGATGATCTATGACTTTTTGGAAATCCAAAGATGTCTACTTCAATCCCTATTTTAATCAATTTTGCATTTGAAGATGTTATCTTGATGTAAATGGTCTTGACAAAAAGTGCTTTTTGTTGACTTTCTGAAAATGACCTGTAATGTATAAGCTTGTATCTTTCAAATGGTGAATTTCTTGGACTTGAGGGATTCAGAGAAGTTGTAGGGAATTGGATTCTCTTCAAAATGAGCTTTGGTTGGGAAAAATGGATGAAGTATGAGAAAGTTATGCCTGGTCAAAGTTTGGTTGAGTTTTCCTATAGAAACCATAATTAGCAATTCTTGACTTTTGATGAATTAGGAGCATTTCTTGAGGTATCATGATCAACCGTTGATCAAATTATGGATATCACTTCAAAATGTTGATGTTGATCAAAAATCTTAAATTTTGACTGTATATAGACCATAGTTGACTTTTGACCTAGTATAGTGGATTTTCAAGCATTTGAGCAATTGTCTGAACAAACTTGTAGTGCAAGGTATGAAACTTGTCATGGATAATCTTGAAGACATATTAGGACCATGGAAGATATTTGAGAGCTTTGGAGCTCACAAATCTTGGTGAAAAATGAAACTCTAGTTGGAAGGCCAATGCTTAGGAGGAGAATTTGTCTGATCAATTCTTGGTCAACCTTGAACAATTGAGGACCTCTAGGAGTATGTCTTGTGTGAAAATGAGAGGGAAAATTTTAGCGTACAACAGCGCTCACCAACTTTTTCACCTTCATCCGACTTCCATTTTCCTTCTTCTTCATTTGAACTAATTTCTTCATCCATGACACCACCATTAATATTAAATTTTGGTTCCACAAGTCTCTTAGGACCCTGCATATCCTCTTCCAATTTAATCTTGAATATATTATCATTTATCCCAATATTGAAAACTTCATTCAAAACCATAGAATATTTTGTCTTCATGAGTATTCTGGCCACATCTATATTAGACTGATCCCTTGTCTCTTCATCTAAGCAAACAAGTTTACCCACACAACAAGTTATAAAGTCAAAAAAACTCAAATGATCATGCATGGAAAGGAACACCATATCATCTTAGCCAAGTGAGTCTTTCGTTATCTACATCACCCGACACCCATGGACGAATTTTCGAGAACCATTTTGCTATCCAGTCCGTAGCATCAGACACCAAGGCTTTTATTCCCCCTTCTTTTTCCTCCTCAAGAAGACATAAATTAGCTCCAAGCGGCATGACTTTGATACTAAAATATCCTTCTGCTTTCAGCGCGTCCTGGATGTTGTATGTTGCTCCCACATTCTCAACAATCCCAATAAAAGCTTTCTTAAATCTTTAGCATCTTCAATGTTGTATTGTAAATGAGAAAATTTTGGCTTCTGCTCAAATCTACCAATACCATAGTAGCTTAAGTGTAATATTTGATAAGCCCACCCCCTTGTCTTGGTCATCCACCCTTCCAAAACTATTTTCTAGTCTTCTGCTCTGATCAATGAAATTATTATTACGACGGAAATTCGAAGTCTTCGTGTTTGGTTGCCTTACTCGTTGAAACCTAGGAACATTAGCATGCAACTTTTTTGATTTGATGAAAATGTTATCTAACTTCACCGCTAGGAGATTTTCATCCACCACTTTTCTAAATCTCACAAACCCATATCGCTTACCCTGCTTGTCTCTCCTTGGTGGAATAACCACCTCCACCACCAATCCATATTCTTTGAATACTTCGAACATGTCTCTTGCTTCAAAATCTTTCGGAAATTCCGTGAAAAAGAAGTTGGACATTGGTTCATCATAGCTCCTCCCCTTTCCTTTCTTTGAATCCCAAACAACAACATTATTCTCCCCAGATCTTCTATTTTTGTTAACCACCTTTTTTCACCGTTCATTCCCCACCTCACTATGACCACCCTCACCTTTCTCTGTTCTCTCTCTTCCCTCTCTCTCTAACATTTGAAAAAAATTTAGAATTTTTTATTCAAAATAGATGTTGATCACTTTAATAATAAAAAACACAAATAATCCTCATATTAAAACAAATTTCATATGGCATTAAAATTTCAGGTACATTATTGTTTTACACTCTTCCTGTCCTAGCAGAGAAGATTGAGAGGAATCAATAAAAAATACTAGTATAGGAAACAAAATGATTATGTAAATGACAAAATTCACTACAAAAACCAATGTGTTAGAGGAAAAAAGCTTATTTAATATGGAGATTCCACCCTTGGATGCTAGAATCCTTCTTCATTCAAGAGAAGGGTAGTCAGTATAACCAACAACTGGATCTGAAGAGTAGAATGTCTCTCTATTATACTTGTTTAGAGGAGCATCAAGTGCAAATCTCTTTGGTAAATCTGGATTAGATATGAACAATCGACCATAAACAACAAGATCTGCTCTATTTTCAGCTATAGCGTTGATCCCATCTTGTCTGTTATAACCTCCTGCAACCATAAAAGTGCCATTGAAAGCCTTTCTCATTGGCTCCAAACTGTGAGGGGTTTCAACTGGATCAAAAGAATGTATTAGTCTAGGTTCCACCATGTGGCAGTATTGAATAGCATATTTATTGAGGGCATTAGCCATATAAAGTCCCAAAGCATTGGGATTGGAGTCTCCACTTTCTCCATATTCAGCAAATGGTGATAATCTTATTCCAACTTTTTCTGCTCCTATCTCATTTGCCACAGCTTCGACAACTTGTAATGTAAACCGACAGCGATTTTCAAGTGAGCCACCATATTCATCGGTTCTATCATTCACTTTATCTTTCATGAATTGATCCAGTAGATAGCCATGAGCTCCATGGATTTCAACTCCATCAAAACCTGCAATTTGCATCACAATGAGCATTTTAGGTTATCTGAAAAAATGTCAAAGTGCCTTTTAAAGCAACAAATAGTCCTATTCTGGATGAGTTAAGTTACCAGCATCAATAGCATTTCTTGCAGCAAGTTTGAAGTCATTAACAATATTAGGAATTTCATCTGTCCTCAATCGTCTGGGAGGTGTGAATTTTTGTACATCATTGTTTGTGAGTGACTTATCAGTCGAAGATATCGGGGCTTGTCCATTCGGCTGATAAACTGTTAGATTAACAAGAAAGGAACATGAACAATTGGAAGAAAATAACAATCCTGGTCTATATATTAATGCAAAGAAAAATGGACTACTTAAAAGCTAAGCAAATAGATACATACTTGAATTTGAAACTCTTCCAACATGCCAAAGCTGACAGAAAAAGACACCGCCTTTTGCATGAACAGCATCTACAATTGGTTTCCATGCCTCCACTTGTTGTTTGGTCCAAACACCTGGTGTATCTGGATAGCCTTGAGCAGTGTCAGAAACACCAGTAGCTTCTGCTATGAGAAGACCACCTTTAGATGCTCTCTGAGAGTAATAGAGAATAGCATGAGGTTGTGGAACGTTGTTGTATGATCTTGTTCTAGTCAGTGGTGCCATAACAACTCTAAAAAAAATGATAGAACAAGTTATTCAAGAAGAGCAAAACATTCTAATAAGATGGAAATTGAAATTGTAGTTACGATTACCAACCTGTGGGAGAGATTGAATTTTCCCATCTTGTATGGTGTAACAAGAGGAATTGGATCAACAGTGGTAGCACCCATTGAATTGAAGTATTTATTGATTACCGATGAAATGAGTGATTAATAAGAATTGATGAGAAAGCAAAATATGAAGAGAGTTGGTTGGGTGTATCTATATTTATACTATGTGCATGTGTTGTGCTAAAGTACTAGAAAGTTCTTTTCTTATTGACAAAACTTAAGTGGTTCAAAGTCAAATTCTCCCACCTTTACGCTTCTTTGTGACGTGTGCAATTGCGTAACATGGCTTATCGGCACCACATTTTCTCATTCAAGAAGGCTACTATTTGCTTATAAAGTTAGAAGCTGTGATCCATATGTCTTTATTATAAAAAAATGGTTATGTTCGTACACACAAACGTGTTCATACACAAACATGTTTCTATATATAAGAACAAAAACACTTATTTTCATGAGTATATGAAGTCGAGGAACGATAAAAATTGTTGATTTAAGTTCACAACAACATCACTATTAAAAATATGATATTTGAGAAAAATTCTTACATCATGTATAAAAATAAATGATGTAAAAAAATTTATCAAAAGATTTTACATCAAACTTTTATTTTTCCTAATATAAAAAATATGTGATTTAGAAGCTGTGATCCATATGTCTATGGTTATGCTCGTACACAGAAACGTGTTCATATAGAAACATGTTTCTATCTATAAGAACAAAAACACTTATTTTCATGAGTATATAAAGTTGAGTAAAAATTTATTTTTAAGATAAAAATTGTTGATTCAAGTTCACAACAGCGTCATCCCGAGGGATTATGGATTGATAAAGATATTTGATCCGACTTCTTTCCGTCAGTTCTAGTGAAGGTGACCCGTAAAGTATTTGTAAATATTTTCATGCTCAAATTATTTCTATATTTTGATCGGATATGAGGTGTTATTTCAGTTTCAAAGGCGAAGAAAGAAGAAGTGTCATGAGAAGTGTATATTTTATCTCTTAGTTGAAATTCCACCAAAGAAAAAGGTTGAACGTATAGTGGATTCAATTTCCAGCAACAATTTATTTGTTTTTTTATAAAATGCATTACTTAGTATAACTGAGAAGAAATTATATATATATATATATATATATATATATATATATATATATATATATATATATATATATATATATATATATATATATATATATATATATATATATATATATATATATATATATATATATAAGAAAAAGAACTCTTTTTTCTTCAATTGATCTGAAGACGACATGTGGTTTTTTGTGGGATGACCAAATTTTCTGTCCAAACCTCTTTTTTTCGTTGCCCATCCAAATATCCAAAACAATCAATTTTTCCTCTTCTCACAATTCTAAAAATACCATTTTTTCTTATTTTCACCATGTTCTACAACGGTTACTTCCTCATAACAAATGTGATTGTCTTCGTCTTTCTCTCTATCGCTTGCTTCTTTGTCCTTCACGGTGGTGAGATTGCCATCGTCGCCACCACCATCCTCTAATCAACACACTCCTAACATGAACTGTGGCCAACTCTTTACCCTGATCACGAATCCAAGACTAAACTTCCCTAATTCATGTCCCTACTCTTAAATCAGAAACCCATAAAGACAAAACCCAGAGACTTCAAAACGCGATTACATAGTGATTAGGAACGTATTTACGTAATTAGCTTAGGGGAAAACTCCATAGGAGGCTCATCTACGTTGAAGCATGAAGAGAACTGGAGAAACGATAGGGAAGAGCAACCTACCAGTGGCGATGGCGACGATGACGAAGACCTTTGACGGGGAAGATTCCTTCCATCAGGTAACTCTTCTTGCTTCTCTCATCGCCTTCTTTCTTTTCTTTTCTGTATTAATTGTTTGTTTCTTCTTCTTTTTCACCTCTTCCCTTTTTTCTTTTCTGAAATTCTATGTTGTTTGGTTATGAGGTATGAATGTTAATGCTGGTGTGTATCGTGTTTATCAGTTATGATGACTCCGTGTTGTTGTGTGATATCACTGAGTGGTAGTTGTTATTCTGTGGATATGTGAGGAGATCGAGAGGAAGATTTTCAGAGAGGGTGATGTGAGTTGAGGAAGGTGAATGTAGAAGAAGGTGAGTGAGCTGGTTCTGGGATGGAGGTGGTGATTGTGATGGTGAAATGGCTTTAGCTTACACCATCAGCTGGTCTTTGTACTATTTTTCTTGGTTGAGTCTGAGTTCTTATTTTATTGGCAGGATTTTGCTTATATAGAGGTGTATAAACCTCATTGATCACTGCATATAACTGTTGTGACTCTTCATTATACGTAACTGAGTTGTCGTTAAGGCAAGAAACATTCGTCGTTGCCAATGATGGTTATTATCATAACATGCGCCGTCATGTATTGGTGAGCAGTTACGCCCTTAATGGTCTGGTCACTCTCTAACAGCCTCATCAAGGTCGGGCTCTATTTAACATCTGGATCCAGGGATAATGTCCGGGTATAAGCCCGGCTGACGCCTCTTTATCTTTCTCTATGGCCGACCACATATGCCTTCGGCTATACAACCCGGCTCAGGCATGAAGATCTCAAACCGGGGTACTACCAGGCTAAGCATTTATTTTTCCTCCTTGGCATTTTATCCACATCTTGCCTTTTTATCTCTCTTAGCCCGGACAATAGATCTATGTATGAACATAAGCCCTACGAGAACATGGATTTATTTTAAGCCATATGTTCGTTTAGCGTAAATATTAATCTTTTGCTCCGGGTTGGGCTCCTATAACCGGACGGTTGTCGAGTTCATTCCCGGCGTGTGTGATGCTCACGCCTTAGTTTCCCAACAGTCACCTAGTTTTTCAGAAACATGTTTCTCTATTTATAACAACAAAAACACTTATTTTCATGAGTATATAAAGTTGAGTAAAAATTGTTGATTCAAGTTCACAACAGCGTCACCCCGAGGGATTATGGATTGATAAAGATATTTGATCGGACTTCTTCCCGTCAGTTCTAGTGAAGGTGACCCGTAAAGTATTTGTAAATTTTTTCATGCTCAAGTTATTTCTATATTTTGATTGGATATGAGGTGTTATTTCGGTTTCAAAGGCGAAGAAAGAAGAAGTGTCATGAGAAGTGTATGTTTTATCTCTTAGTTGAAATTCCACCAAAGAAAAAGGTTGAACGTATAGTGGATTCAATCTCCAGCAACAATTTATTTGTTTTTTATAAAATGCATTACTTAGTATAACTGAGAAGAAATTATATATATATATATATATATATATATATATATATATATATATATATATATATATATATATATATATAAGAAAAATAACTTTTTTTTTCTTCAATTGATTTGAAGACGACATGTGGCTTGTTGTGGGATGACTAAATTTTCTGTCCATACCTCTTTTTTTCGTTGCCCATCCAAATATCCAAAACAACCGTTTTTTCCTCTTCTCACAATTCTAAAACTACCATTTTTTCCTATTTTCACCATGTTCTACAACGGTTACTTCCTCATAACAAATGTGATTGTCTTCGTCTTTCTCTCTATCGCTTGCTTCTTTGTCCTTCACGGTTGTGAGATTGCCATCGTCGCAACACCATCCTCTAATCAACACACTCCTAACATGAACAGTGGCCAACTCTTTACCCTGATCATGAATCCAAGACTAAACTTCCCTAATTTCTGTCCTTACTCCTAAATCGGAAACCCAGAAATACAAAACCTAGATACTTCGAAACGCGATTACATAGTGATTAGGAACGTATTTGCGTAATTATCTTAGGGGAAAACTCCATAGGAGGATATCTATGTTGAAGCATGTAAAAAATTGGAGAAACGATAGGGAAGAGCAACCTACCGGTGGCGATGGCGACGATGACAAAGACCTTTGACGAGGAAGATACCTTCCATCAAGAAACTCTTCTTGCTTCTCTCTTAGCCTTCTTGCTTTTATTTTTTGTATTAATTGTTTGTTTCTTCTTCTTCTTCACCTCTTACCTTTTTTCTTTTCTGAAATTCTATGTTGTTTGGTTATCAGGTATGAACGTTGTTGTTGGTGTGTATCGTGTTTATCAGTTGTGATGACTTCGTGTTGTTGTGTGATATCACTGAGTGGTAGTTATTGTTCTGTGGATATGTGAGGAGATCGAGAGGAATATTTTCAGAGAGGGTGGTGTGAGTTGAGGAAGGTGAATGTAGAAGAAGGTGAGTGAGTTGGTTCTGGGATGGAGATGGTGATTGTGATGGTGAAATGTCTTCAGCTTACACCATCAGCAAATATTTGTTCTGTTTTTCTTGGTTGAGTCTGAGTTCTTATTTTATTGGAAGGATTTTTCTTACATCCACTTCGGAGGTATATGGAGATCCGCTTGAGCATCATCAACCTTAAACCTATTGGGGAAATGTTAACCCTATTCTTATGTGTTTTTATGTTATTATAACCTGTATTCGGCCTTAAATGAAATTATATCTGTTGATACGGTTTAGAAAGATAATTGTACAAAATAAGCCTTGGAGTTCTGTTATATTTAACTTGTTGCTATGTGGCTTATCGGTACCACATTTTATCATTGAAGAAGGGTAATATTAGTTTATAAAGTTAGTAGGTTTGATCCATATGTCTTTATTATAAAGAAATGTTTATGTTCATTCTTTTTGCTAAACACTAAATGGGTGACTTCCCTGCTGGTTGAAGGATATCGGGGAGAGCCTCAATTAAGTGGAAGTGAATTGTTTATAATATTAAGGGATTCAGAGGTTTACACAAGTATGTGTAAGCTCCAAGTCATGTGTCTTCCTTACCCCTCAGTCGGGAGACCTATATATAGAAGTGCATAGACCTCATTGATCACTGCATATAACTGTTATGACTCTTCATTATACGTAATTGAGTTGTCGTTAAGGCAATAAACGTATGTCATTTTCAATGATGGTTATTATCATAACATGTGTTATCATGTATTGATGAGTGGTTACACCTTTAATGGTCCGGTCACTCTCTAACAGCC